TTCATGCTTTCCAATGTCGATTAGAAAAAAAGAAAGGGAGAGGAAAAAAATGTGGTTTGTGATTATTTGAATATAAGTTTGAAATTATTCATCTTTCAATTATGATTTATTTATAAAAATCTATTCAAATTTAACCAAGCCAATTTTATTCGAATTGAATTACGTATTATTGAGTTAAACAAAATTACATATTATTTATATTCACCTCATCTGTAAAACAAACTTAAAAATACAATAAATTTCAAATAAAACTAAACATGTCAAAAATCAAGGAAAAGATATGGAATTGATACTGAAATTTCTAATTTGTTAAAAGAAAGTTACAATTTTATTGCATCTTTTAAAGGATATGATTAATTATGAAAGGTTGAAATTGACACCAAGATTTCAAGATTGATCATTTGTGTCGATCATGACTTTCCAATGACCAATTATAATTTTTTTTTTTAAATTATAACTTTTCTATAAGAGGTTGTAATATGCCGTACCGGAACAAAAATAAAAAATCGGTATCATAGAGGTTCCCCAAATATCAAATCAAACTAACACTGAATTTGAATTGCAGCTTTTAATTAAAATAAAAAAAAATAATTAAAATACGTATAAATTAATTCAAACATTCCTAATAAATAGATTAAAAAAAAAAAATTGCTGGAACGGTGGAACAACCTAAATGGCATTGAGAGTTGAGACAAACAATAGCCTTGTCTCCCTCATGGTGAGGGGGGTAAAACTGTCAATTCATACTTCTCGTCGGGGTGCTTGAATTGAAAAGGGTAAAATGGTAGAATAGCGTGGAAACCGAGGCACAAAGATAAGGACGCCAGACTGTCCCGCCAAGTCTGAACCAATGAATCTCTGTTTCTTTTGCAACTCACTCGCATAAATATAAATATATTAAATAATAACAACGACCAACTTACACAATCAAAAAGAAAACCAAAAACACCGGAGATTGTGGATTTGACTTGGGCAATGCCGTTGTCCTGGATCCTATCATGAGCAGGACTACTAATTAACTGAGCTATTCGACTCGATTTGAGTCCGACATATTTTTAACTCATTAAAATTTAATTTATTTTTTAAATGAGTTAAACTTAAATAATTTAAATAAATATAATAAATCCATCTCGAATTCGACAGGCTTAATTTGTTTATATGCAAATACTCTGGTTTAACTTAAATTTGAACCGTTTTGAACTCATTCAAGCCTTAACTCATTTTCTAAATGAGTTAAATTTAAATAATTTTTTAGATTCAATTAAGAAAATAAGTTTTTTAGACTCAGCTCAAATTCGTTCGAACTTGTTCGACTATCAGTACTAATTGTGAGTAATATAATTATGATTATACTTTATACCAAAATTTTGTTTTAAAATAGTCTAAATTTTATTATTTATACAAAGATCAAAAAAAATTATTGATTGAATCAAAATTTCAATTTTTGAGTGTTTCAAGATTTTTTTATATGTTTCATAATATTTCAATATGTTTCAAGATGTTTCAGTACATTTTGATCAAAAAAATGTTATATTTAAAAAATTAATTTTATAAACTACTATTATTGAGTAGATAGTGAATTTTAATAAATATTGAGACCTACGATTAAATCAATAGTAAACATAATAATAGCAACATTATCAAGTCAGTTTTTTAAGTCTGTGTAACATTACTTTCTGATCAATAGTTGAAAAATATTTAAAAATAAATTCTTAAATTATTTTTCTATTTCTATTTTCAAATTGACAGAAACAATGTCGTGAAATAAAATTTTAATCCTTGCTTCTAATACATTTTGTATTGAATTTTCATCATAATAAATTATTTGCCGTTAATTAGTAAGAAATCCACTTGAATGCATGATAATTTGGAGTGTTAAACATATCGGGTTAAACGGTTATGTGTCGGGTTAAACAAGTGACAAGTGAAAAATATGTAAATTCGTACACGATACGTTTAATAAACGAGTAAAAAATCTAAACACGAACATGAACTATTTAAAAAATAAATAACAAGATATAACTCGTTTAACCCATTTAATTTTATTAAAATTATTCTATTAAAATTTTAACCTACAACAAAAAATTATCTTATTAAAATTTTAAACTCCATTAATTATCCACAATTCTCTTAATTAAAAGATTTTCAGTTGGATGCAAATGAAAAGGTTTAACGACTGGGGGGGCGCGGGCGCATGTTTTTATAGGCATGGAAGGCTCCTTCATTTGAATTTGTTCGCGTGGAATTCAAGCCAAAATTTTTTACTGTGCACTCGTAAGCCCCAAAGTCACAGGCTGTGTATTATCTCTGTAGATTTGTGAAAAATAAGAAGAAGAAGAAATGCCTACGTTCACGACTGTTGCTTTGGAGACCTTGTTGGAATCAACAATTCGAGATTCATACAAGAAGCCTTTGAATTCCGGAGATGAACTGAATAAGAAGCAGGAAAGAGAGAAGCAGGAGAAAAGACTTCGACACCGTTGACATACAGTGTTCACCGTTTACATACAGAGCACTCAAAAATACAGTGCTCACCACTGGTATTACATACAGCCTCCTCTGTATGTAAACGGTGAGCATTCTTATCAACTGCAGAGGCTTCGAAGCAGAGTGCTCACCACTGGTATTACATACAGGCTGCTCTGTATGTAACTCTCGAAACAAAGCCTTTGAATTCTGTTTGTAATTTTGACTACTTTTTTTAAATAAATATTTTTTTAAACAGGTAAAGGTTTCACTGACCGTTTATTAAACGTGTCTGATGAATTAACCTATTTATCACCCGAATCCGTTAAAATCTCACTTAAATCCACTTAATTTATATCGATTAATCGTGTTGTGTCGGATTTTGACAGGACTAATGATAAGTGATCCACCATAAAAATTGATGATACACAAAAATAAATTTATGCACCAGCTGTCGAGTAATTAATATATGTAATAAATATAAAGGTAAAATCAACACAGACAACACACAGATATAAAATGGTTCAATGAGGGTGACTTACTCTTCTTTAAAGGCAACGATGGTGGCCGAAAGACCTTATTTATAGAATAGTTAAAAGGAAAGAGAGCACGAACAAGTTTTATGTGTGATGAGGTAGCTATGCGAGATGTAGCTAAATAAAAGGTGTGTAGAGATGTCCCTCTAATGTGTAGAGAACTTATAATTTATAGGTACAAAACCTTAATTAAAGTAATGGTATGAAAGGATATGTGACTAGTCCTTCGGAGTGGATAGCTACAACTAAAGATAGGTACAATTAAAGATAATCTTGATCATCGAATAGTTATCCCGACGTTTGTTCCTCAAACATGCGCTGATCTTTTGAGTTTGTTAAACTTTGAATTGACCTAAGGTCATGATTTGAACTTGATCTGCTTTTTAACTGATTTGAGCTTACTCCATGGATTGGACCCATACAGTTGGGATAAGGGCTCGTCAAAGAACATTACCAAATTTAACACCTCCATTGGATTAATTTTAAACCGAATATTTTATCATCATTAATTGAAAAAATAATAAAATATAAAAAATGCAACATGTACCATGTTTTTATTAGTTGAAAAAAAATATCAAAAAATGATATTTCAATACAATAAAAAGACTATAATTTTAGAGACAATTTTTAGCTCTTACCTAAATAACAAGATTTGAATTTAATTTTTAGGATTTAGATTTCCTTCGTTATACTTAGGTTCACTTATAAATTGCAAATCCCACTTAAGAAAAATCCTAAGAGAGAACAAACTAGTTTTGAAGATATTTTTTAGGTCGAGTCACTCAAATTCATTTATCATCAGTTCACCAGTCTCGTAGTGCATCAAATTAGGTTACGTATAATTCTATTAATCTCTTATTCGATTTGATTAAAGGTAAATCATTTACATTAAGATTAGAGTATTGATGAGATATAAATTTCTCGTAACTTGACTTAAAAAATTACCAAAATTCGAGCTCAAAACACATGTGCTTTTTACCGTCAAATTGTTAGACTATGATCTAAAATATAATATTTTGTATTTATGCATATATCTTAATAAAGAGTAAATTATCTAAAATTCTAAATGGCACATAAACTATACCATTATGGCATTGTCTTTATTTTGATCACTCCCTCCAACTTCTAAATTTGAGTCAATACAATTTTTCGTCTAATTTTATCAAAAATATTCCCATTTTAGATATTATGTTGAAAAATCTCAAATATTCAAACACAATCATCTCAAAAATTACAAAATAAAAATACGAATTCCTAATTGGGTACTTGAGATATTTTTGTCAGATTGTCTAGAATGCCTATTTGAATCAATTACATGTTGGATAAAAAAAATAAAATAATTACATGAATCACAGATTAATTATTCCGTTAATATATTTGAGAAAATTAGACGAAAGATGTACATTGATCCAAATTAAAAGATTATAAGAATTAATAGAGAAAAGATTTGGTTTATGGGTTTTTTTTTTTCCTCCAATGGTCAGGGTTGTTCGGGCAAACTTATGTATATTTCGACTAATTTTTTTCTCGGTTAGGTTAAAGTCAGATTATCTATTTCGAGACTAAGGTATTGATGAAAAATAAATTTCTAATGGCTTATTTGAAAGTAATTTTACACTTATAAGTCATTTAGATAATAAGTAAACTATACATATAACCTTCAAATTATGACATTTTTATCAATTAAGTTTTTTTAATTTCTTTTTTTTTTTTATCAATTGAGCCCCTGAATTTTTTAATTTTGTTAATTGTACCTTTTTGTCTGCCTTCATTAAATTTTATTACAAAAAATGGCACACTTCATCACTTTTTGAAAGCAGGTAGAAGGGATCAATTGATATAATTAAAGAATTTAAGAATTTAATTAATACAAAAAAAATTATAAAAATTTAGTTGATATAAGTGTCATATTTTGAGGTCATATGTTTAATTTACTCTTATATATAAAACAACTCGTTTAATTTACTCTTATAGATAAAAATAAAACAACTCTATCAATTTTGAAGGCACGTGGTCTCTCTCTCTCTCTCTAGGGCTTTCTCTGCGTAGTTCTCTCCCTCCTGGGGGTTTCTGATCTGTACTCAGCTGTGATTCGAACAAGTTCGTCGGCCTCATAAGTTTCTACTTGTAGTGTTTGGATCTGACTAGGTCTTCGTTTGTTCTCATGGATATTGTTTCATACAACTTGTTTATAAGAAATTTTCTACGATGTAATTTCCGCGGAAACAAACGGAATCGTAGTTGAAATTTTTTTCTAGTTTTGATTACAAAGTTACAGATTAGGTTAGCCGCAGTATATTTATGTGGCTATCACACAATATAGTTGAGATTAAAGCATTTGGAGCTGATGATACGTAGTCTAGCATCTAATCTAGGTTTCTTTTCGTTCTTTCTTTAATCCGGTTGTGCTTATTTATGTATCATTTGAAAACTTTGCAGGCGATTTACTCTTGCTATTGGAATCCATGCCTCGGTACGAACGAATCTCTTAATGAATTTTTTTGACTTCATCCATGGAATTTAGAAAATTGATGAGAATTTGTTTTTTCTCCGAGTTCATGATTGTGTTAAATTTTGTCAGGTATTATTGTGACTACTGCGAGACTTATTTGACACATGATTCTGTGAGTCATATTTCTCGCTCTCTAAGTCGTTTTTATTATTTATGATTATCTGTTTTTGTTTCATGTGTCGGAAAGCCGTTGGCATATTATGTGAGAGAAGGATACTAATAAAATTGAAGGCAAGTTCTATATAAGGTCGGCAACTAAAAAATAATATAGTGACAAAATGAGTGAAACGGAAATGAGAATGTTAAAGGTAGATTTGTGAAAAAATTAGAAAGAATAGAATACGAAATGACCGTATTAGAAAAATTATAGGAATAGCTTCAATTGAGGACAAGTTGAGAGAGAATAGATTAAGATGAGTTGGTTATGTTCAACAGAGGCCGATAAAAATATCGGTGAGAAAAAATGATATAATTTTTCTTAATGGTACTAGAAGAAAGGGTGGATCTAAATTAATATTGAACGAAATAATCAAAAAAAATATGAAAATACTTTACTTAAAAGAGCATATAACGCATTATCGAAATGAATGGTGTAGACGGACTCGTATAGCTGACCCCAAATGATTGGAACATAACGCTTAATTTGTTTTGGTTATTATTTGTTTTTGTTTCAATGATTGATTTCAGAAACACCTCAGGATATTAGTGGTGCTTGGATCTAACTAAATTCCCATTTGATCTTATATGCCATATGATCATGCACCAATTACTTTCTATATGGGATGCAGCTCGTAACATCATTTTTAGTTTTGTTTTGGGGTTTCAAATTAAACATTAAAAACCAAATTGTGTGGATATATCACTCAATCAAATTTGGGATACATCAAATTAGTATTCCTGTTTCTAATTAATATTGGGACTTTTCTAACAGGATACTTGATAGGCGTTAGATTCAAAAAGAATATCTATAATCTACTGAAGCCTTTGAATATCTTTGGGGTCATCTACAAAGTATCGATAAACAGGAGTATTTTTAGAAGAGTATTAATCAGCCTAGTCAAGCTCCATGATTGTTTTTTGTAACATTCTTTAAAAAGGTTTTGTGATCTCACTGTCAATATATTTTTTTTTGGGTGATTTCAGCCATCCGTTAGGAAGCAACATAATACGGGCTACAAACACAAGGTATTGGCACTGTTTTCTTGAAGTGTAATGTGCCACATGACTTTGATGTGGCTTACTTGTTTACTCTGAAACAGGCAAATGTGCGGACCTATTATCAGCAATATGAGGCACAGCTTAACCAAAGTTTGATTGACCAAAAGGTTAAGGAACATCTTGGGCAAGCTGCAGCGTACCGGCCAGTTGGTGCTTCTTTTAACCCGCTGAGGCCTGGTCTTCCTGTTCTACCTACTCCGGTTTTGCCGTTTCCGGGAAACACACAGTTACCTGCGAGTTTACCCTTGGCCCCAGGAATGAGGCCTCCTGTTTTGCTGAGACCAGTTCCTGGTACTTCAGATGAACTGATAACAATTTTGTCTTAGAATTTTGTTTTTTATTACCTCTCTTTTGTGTTTGGTTTTCATGATAGATATTTGCTTCGTGTAGTGGTGCATGTTTGTATGCATTTACACTTGGGCAATTTATTGGAAATTTGATTTTATATGTGTTCGTGTTCTCGGACCTTTGGTTGTACCATCAGTGGATGAGACTGGGTATCAAAGGAGCACTGAAACCTATTATGATGGGAATCTAGATTTCATAGTTGGTAAGTAAGGGAAGGTCGCGACTTGCCAATGGACTTTGCTTAAGTCAAGTGCAACAAAACAAATGCCCAAGAAAGCTTTCCCATAGGCTGTAAGAGGTTTGTCTTGTTGGTAAATCTAATCCATCTTATGTGAATTTTGGAAGGAACATAGTACGTGGATCTTTAGGATTTGAGCTTCCTAGTTTTAGAGCTAAATAATGTATGCCATCATTGTAGTTTATTGTTTGGAGGAGTTGCTAGGTATAATATGTAGGCTGCTAATATAAGTTTTTTCCCATTTGGAGGAGTTGCTAGGGATAATCCCTCCTTTATTCTTCTGTGGATTTTCATGCATACAACTGACAATTTCTTGTAAAAATCCCTAAAATGCATTTTTGTTGTTATAAAGTATAGAACTCAGGTGCATCACGGAAGTGGAATTTGTCTGTTTGGTCACTTGTCTATCGTAATGTGCATTAGTTTGAGAAGAATGGGGGCATGAAGCACCAAGATTTTCACATCATTTACTTTTCAAATGTGGTACATCCATGCACAGAAAATACCACAAAGTTCGCCAGGTATGAACCCCCAACTAGAGACACACTCATGTTTGTATCAGTAGGAAACCTAATTTTGTTGGGTTTGGCACTCTCAAATTTGTCTCCTTTAATCATTTTCGAAACCATATTCTTGTTGGACAAGGATTATGAATATCTTTTTGTTGTTTGAAGTCAATTTTTCCATTACAAGTGGGCATTTTCACCTTGCATGTCTCGGGATAACATTAGAACTTGATCAGTGGTTCGTAATTTGAAATATTATAGTAAAGGAGTGTGCTATCTGTCGTAGCCATAGTTAAATGCCTGATAAATATTTATTGCGTTGAAAACCTATTCATGCTATGCATGAAATGTTTTTTCCCTCAGGAATTGTATTTGATCATTTTGTTAATGTTGCCAGGTTATATGTCTGCTCCAGCCATGCCGCCAGTGATGGTGCCACCTGGTGCTCCTTCCTTGCCTGGTCAAGTTAATGGTACCCCCGGGCCTGTGACAATGAATGCTCCCTCGATGGTTCCAGGGAGTACAGGGACAGCTTCTTCTAGTGGTGCCCCTTCAATGTTTACACCAGCAATTTATCAAGCCAATGCAGCAGCACCAACTGCTGGAAGTATCGATAATTCCATTACAAATTCCCAAGCTCCCGAGGCTAGTCATTAGTCTGATCAAAATGGTGGTTTTGCTTCTGTACCTTAGGCTGGCAATGTAATTTTTTCACATTGGTAGGAGATGCTAAAGGAGCAGTTGTGGAGGATAAATGGGGGCAAAATGACATAATCAGGAGATCAAAGGCTCACCATCATTGTTTTAATCGGTAGCAGTTATCAGTTCTGTAGCCGTTGCTCATATTCTACTGTCTTAAAAACTTCCAATTTTGGGACATTCTAAGAGACTAAACGAACAAATGGTTACCATTGCAAGAGAATTAAGGGTTTGGATGTATTTGGGGTGAAAATTAGTCGATGAGATTAAAAAAATAAGATTGATAATAGAATGTCATGATTGATCTCGCGTTTTAGGTATGATGCCAATCAACCTCATTGAATGGTCATTCAATACAATGAGTCCCTTTCCTACAACCGGACATTTCCTCACATGGGAATACATCCCCATGTTGAGGCCATCTGCTTGCTTAAGCAGTTCTGCAAATAATGTTATGTGGCGACTGGACCAGAACCTTTTACAATGCCTCCAAACCTACCAGCAACTGCTTAGTTACCAAAATTGTGTCATCCAGTGAACCAAACTGGCGGTTTACAAATACATCCCTGATACCTAGAGATTGAAAACTGAAATCCTACGAGGGCACAGAAAAAGAATTTACATGCTTCCATGGATGCTGCATGGTGCATGGCTTCCCAATCAATGTCATGCTTAAACTAGTTAGCTCTGTCATCAATGATGCAAACACAGCCCGATAACATCACTAAACAAGTGCAAAATATATTTTGCAGTTCTATTTTCGAACCCAACAGTCAGATCTCAGACTAACATTTGTGACATGACTAAAATAGATCTAAATTCAAAAGTACAACAATATAATGCACAATAATGAAGAAACTTGTTAAACCGCCTTTTGACAAGAAGGACCATCCAAGGTCACCACATTGCTTTCATATCTTGCCATCAGCACATCTGAGCAGAAATTGGATCTGGCCTAGTACAATCAGCAGGCGCAGCTTCTACACCTCTAAGTTACCTGTACTATTTGGGAGAGCAGAATAATACCCATTCAACTTTGGCTCAGAGGTACGAGGCAGGAGGACCTGCAAAGGAATATCGGGATGAGACTGATGTCGATGGAAATTCAGAAGCGCCCCTGAGTTGTTGGTGATAATTCTGATTGTAATCAGATAGTGCATGTGAAGCATATGTTGAATATGATCTTTCTCCACCATCAGGAACCATTCTTCCTGGATAATTTCTGGTCTCACTCTCTACATAACTCGAGCCATTTATGTAAGTCTCTCTCCCGGTCAGAGAATATGATTCTGAAGGAGCTACCACTGTCCTTGGCAGCGAAAGATACTGATCCACCAATTGGTTGGTGCTATAGTGATAAGGATCATATACTTCTATGGTGGGACTAACAAATGCAGGCAGTTTCTGTCGACCCTGGAGGCCAAAAGTTCTATAATCCTTTTCACTGAGAAAGAGCGGATCAAGATGAACCGCGTCTTGCTGGATTAGAGCTGCATCACCAAGGATAGGAGCAGAGTTCTTCAGAAGCTGTTCCCTTTCTTGATCAGTTCTCTGAGGATCTAAACCAGTGCCCATTGGAGTAGCAGCAGCTGTTAAAAGATGTCTTTCACCTCGAAGCCCATAAGTTCTATAGTCTTTCTCAGACAGAAAAAGTGGGTCAGGAGAAGCTACATCATTGGGCGAGACAGGGTGCTTAGAGAACTGCTTCCTATCACGATCAGATGGCATAAGGTTCCTTGCTGCTTCCTTATTACTGTAATGATCTCTATGTGATTGTCCCCTGCAAGCGTCCTCACCTGGTATGGTTGCAGCTGCTGGGGGGTGGATGATTGGTGCCGAAAGAGATTCCTGACCAGAAGATTGTGCATTTGAGTTTAACCATGGTGCAGCCTGGAACAACAGGGTCAGTTTCTTTACCTGCAAGAGCAAACAATGACACCTTTATTGTTAGTTCAATGGTTTCAAAATTCCCAAAGGGAGATACTCTTGTTATAACAATAATATAATAGTACTCGATTCAACTTAACAAAGCCTTATACCAACTACTTGAGTCGGCTTCATGAATCAGTTTTGCCATAATATTGACAACAACAACCACAAAAAAAAAAAAAAAAAAGCTCCTCACTTGATGAGCAGTTAATTCAGTCTTGAACTTTTTTGTTCTATCATCATAACTCTCTTTGATTGCCTTCTTAAACACACTCTCCGGTAGTGGAAGGCAGTCCTTGTGAACGGTGAAACGGACCTGTAAAATGACTAACTGTCAATAACCACAAGACGGATTATTCAGGAATTTCAAGAAGAATAAAGAAAAATATACAGCATGAAGTGGACCTGAACTGGGAAAGCCCCACCAAAAGCAGCTGGTTCAAGTTTCCAGCCACCAGCAGAAGATGCCTTGTAGATTCCATACAAAAGCTTGAGATCAAAATCAAAGAGAAAAAGCTTCAGACCAGGTTTAATACTCATTACAAGTTCTTGCTTGTTTGCTGTGACGCCCATGACATGATAATGGAAACAATCTGATTTGGTTTTGGCATTGCACATCAAAATAAGTCCACCAAGATTTTTCTCAGCATTTTGATCCCTCTTGGTCGCTTCCTCGTGCTTTTCATTGATAAGTTCCTTCCCTTTGTTTCCATTAGTTGAATTTAGATTGCTTTCACCATCTCTTTGACTCTTTTCAGTTTCTTGTTTGCCACCTTTTATCACCTTTTTTTCATTCTTTTTTCCAGCAACTTTTGGAGTGCCTTTTGCCTCTTTCAGTTTTGTAGGTTTCTGTTTTGAGGATTTCTTCAAAATTTTTGGTTCAGGCTTCAGAGACGTGGGCATTTTCTTGCCAGAATTTGTCAGTTCTAGGGTCGAATCAGAAGCAATACCAATTTTTCTCTTGTTCTTTCCGGATACAATAGTCTTCCCTGCGGCACTATTCTTCTTATTCGCTTGTTCCCCTTGTTCCCCTCGTTTAACCGACTCCTTTTCATCTTTTTTCCTGGGAACTTGTGAAGTACTTTTTGCCTCTTTTCTTTGTGCAGGGGTCTGCTTTCCTGAAGCCATAGCCTCTCCTGAAGCAAAACCACTGTATAATATGCATACATTTCTAATTAACCCTATCTTTTGTACAAAGATAAAATATCCATGCCTATCATATGAACCCCAAGAAGATACTTAAAATACATTTGGGAAACACCCAAACAAGATTTATATCCATTGTTCAATTGTTCTCTAAGTATACAAATGAGCTACCAAATTGACTAAGAAATATTTATCTGTAACCTAAAGATTAAAACTTCCCCATCCATATTTAAAGGGGTTAGATTCAACAGTTCTCTTTCACTGCAGAGTGAGTCCAATACCCAACGAAACATTTCACTATCAGCCTCAAATGGGGTCAGCAAAGAATCAATCAGTTCTTAATTGACACACTGTTTGTACATGATATGTTAAAAAAATCAAATACCAGACGTTAATGTAACAGGTTATGAGAATCTCATGAATATCTGCTTTGTCTTTTTTATTGTTTTGACTGTAGATGAAAACCCTGGTTAATAAGTAATGATGAAGCACAAAACTGTCTCGTGCAAGATCAACAATTGAGTGTGTGATGTAGTATAATAAATAAGATAATTACTAAAGTAATCAATGACAAAATAGTAAATATCGAGTCAACACACAGATATATAGTGGTTCGGTCTGGGTGACCTATTCCACTCTCAGGAAACGGCAGCGGTGGCCGGGGGTCGTTATTAATGAATAAAGTAAGAGAGAGAAAGCTCCGGAAAATGTATGCTCCGGGAAACATACAATAACTAGGAGAGAGAAGCTATGTGTGTGTAGGGAGGTGTAGAGGTGTCTTGGGAGATGCCTTTTCATGTGGAGAGAGCTTACAATTTATAGGTATGGTGAGGCGGTGACGTGAGTGTGAGAACACTACTTCTTCGGGGAGGATAGTTACAAAAGGTAAGTACAATTAATTCTTGTGTATCCATCCCGATGATCTCTCACCCATGTGCTCATTCCTTCGTGGACTCCTTAGATTTTGGACCGAGTCGGATTGATAAAGCGGGCTTGAGCTGCCTTTTAGAAGACTTGGACTTGCTTGATTTATTGGGCCTGACCCAGTTTGATTTGAGCTCATCATTTACCCCCATTGCCCCAAGCCCTAGTAGTGATTTGGGCTTAAGGGCATAAGTGAGCTCCTTCCTTTGGATAGAACAAATATCTTGTTCCATATGATGGCTTTCCCTCCTTCTAGAAGGGGTGAGATCTGATGCCACCAGTGCTTCCCAGCTGAGGTCTGATAGTCCTGTTGTTTCTCGAAAGACGGGGTTTGATGCCCCCGACGCTTCACATAATTATCCTGCCTCTAGCAATGGCCTGGTGTCCCTGCTGCAAGATGTAAATTTTGGCTAAGAAGAGGCTTTGGAGGTTTGTGATACCCTTGGATGTCAGCTTTCGGGGTTTAGAGGGTATCATTGATACCGAGATAGAGGATTTTGCTATGGTACCCCGTTGTTATGTGGAACCCTCTATTCTGTATGTTTGGTCATGCTGACATTCTGGCTTCAAAAATTTGTAGATAGACTGCTTGCTTAAGAGTGAAGCAAAGATAGACCAAGCTTTTGGTGACTCTCATGAGAGTTGCTAAGCTGGAAACATAGGCTGTCTGCTTGAGAGTAGAGAAAAAATAGGCCAAACTTTTGGTGACTCTCGTGAAAGCCGTTAAACTGGAGACATAGGTTGTTTGCATGAGAGCGAAGCAGAGATGGGCCAAACTTTTAGCAACCCGCGAGAGGGCCGCTAAGCTAAAGGCATAGGTTGCCTAAATGAGAGCAGAGCAGAGATAGGTCAAGCTTTTGGCGATCAGGGAGAGAGCCGATAAATTGGAGACATAGGCTGTTTGCTTGAGAGTGAAGCAGAGATAGACCAAGTTTTTGACGACTATCGTGAGAACCACTAAGCTAGAGATTGAGACGTGGGCGCCACTGGGTGAGGACGACGAGGGGCGCTGGGCACGGATGCTGAGGGGTGTTGGACGTTGGTTGGCACAGGCGCCTAGGCACTGGGGCGCTTGGACGCTGGGTACGGACGCCTAGGAGAGCCCTCCCTTTACCTGGTTGACTATCAGCTGTGAGTCACTATAGACTCTCAAGCAGTGCGAGCTTCAAGCCTGATTTGAGGGCTTCATATTCATCTTGGTTGTTAGATGTTGCAAAGTGGATAGAGACAACGTACTTGAGTAGAGTGTCATGGGGGCTGATCAACACTAGTTCTGCGCCACCGTCCTCGCTAGTGGAGGACCCATCCACGTATAGTCTTCAACATGGTATAATAGATGATAGCGAGGGCGCAAAGGAGTCGGGCGCCTCTAGGCTCAGAGTGTTTTCTCCTGAGGCCTGTGGAGTTGTCTCCGAGACATCAGGCTTTCTCAGGTTAGTGTCTGGGCGCCTCATGGTGGGTGGAGCCACTATGCACGGAGCAGGCAAGCGCAAGGGCACATAACACTTTCTCCCAAGATTGTCGTGGTGGTGTAGACTCCCGGGACTCTCGTGCCGGAGAGTAGAGACAGAGTGAGGCTAAGCTTTTTGATGACTCGCGAGAGAGGCACTAAGTTGGAGATTGAGGCTGCTTGGGAGCATAGGTAAAATTAGGCCGAGCTTTCTGACGACTCACGAGAGAGTACGAAGCTGGAGATATAGACTGCTTAAGAGCAAAGGCAGGACTAGGTCGAGCTTTCTAGCGACTGCTAAGAGCATGCAAAGCTGGGGATATAAGGTGCTTACATGAGAGCACTGTTGGGCACTGAGACATGGGTGGCACTAGGCCTTCCCTAGTCGAATTCAAGGATACCAATTAGCTCAAGGATCAGTTCAACACTGCAATCCATGTGAGGCCAGAGAACATATGTTTTAGAGGTTGATTCTTATTCTTGTTGTCCGCTCGATTTCGATCACCTTGTACAAACAAAGATGATAGCTGGGGAGTTTTGGTAAACCTGCAAGACAAGAAAAACTAGGCGAACTGATAGCCAGAGGTGACCAAAGGGACTCCGATGCTTATGTCAGTAAACAAGTCAAAGAAAAAGTATATGGTGAATAGATTAGAATTCCATGACATACATGGTACTCGGAACCTTTATTTATAATGGTATAGGAAGCAGTGTTCCACATAGACTTGAATTTCAAGTTGTGATAGGATAGACCTCATCACTAATCTCCTAGACATTCGAGGTAGAGTCGTATTAGGACGTTGGGTCCTAGATTTTAGGATGAGATGTGCTCGCCAAGAGGCGTTGTTTATCAATATTCCCTTGATACTCGAAGTAGAGTTTCAATAGGGCTCTAGATCCCGGGTCAATCCTTAGCCAAGTAATAAATGGGTACTGCTGGATGAGGACGACGATGGGAATGGCTCGAGGGCTTGGGCAACACCAGGCTTGGACGACACCTTACTGGGTGGATTGGGTGACGCCTTGGGTTGCTTGGGTGACACCTCGGGTCGTGTGGGGGCGTCTCGGGTCGCTTGGGCGCTGAGCACTGGCGTTGATATTTACCATTGGGCGGCCGCTGGGTATTGGTTACTAACCCTAAGGCGCTGGCGCTGACCACTAAATGCTGGCGCTGAGTATTGACCATTAGGCGATGGCGTTGGGTGGAGTACTAAACAACGACGAAATTTCGAACGACCATAATTTTGAGCTTGATTGTCCATTTGAGACAAAAAAAAATTAAAATCGTCTATTTTTTCGAGATCTACGACATAGGATACAATATTTCTCCAAAAAATCTTCTTTCTCACAAAATTTGAGTTTTTTATCCCAAATTAGTGAAAAAGTAGATTTTGCATGTGTCTAACTTTTGCCGGTGGTGGCGGGACCGATGTAGCATGTCATCTTTTGCTTGGTGGTTCATGAATCTAGTTGTTCTTGCCATTAGAGGTAGGAAGACTATAAGGAGAGAATTAAATCGGTTCCCACATATGACACTAAACTGCTGATGCGCAAAACTGTCTCATGTAAGATCAACAGTCGAGTGTGTGATGTGGTATAATAAATAAGACAATTAATAAAGTAATCAATAAAAAAATAGTAAATATCGGGTCAACACATAGATATATAGTGGTTCGGTTCAGGTGACCTACTCCACTCCCAAAAAATGGCAGCGATGGCCAGGGGTCTTTATTGATGAATAAAGTAAGAGAGAGAAAGCTCCGAGAGATGTATACTCTGAGAGAGGTACAATAGTTAGGAGAGAGAAGCTATGTGTGTGTAGGAAGATCCAGAGGTGTTGGGAGATGCCTCTCCATGTGAAGAGAGCTTACAATTTATAGATATGGTGAGGCGGTGACGTAAGTGTGAGGGCACTACTTCTTTGAAGATGATAGTTACAAAAGGTAAGTACAATTAATTCTTGTGTATCCATCTCGATGATCTCTCACCCATGTGCTCATTCCTTCGTGGACTCCTTGCATCTTGAATTGAGTCGGATTGATAAAGCGGGCTTGGGCTGCCTTTTAACTGACTTGGACTTACTTGATTTATTGGGTCTGACCCAGTTAGATTTGGGCTCATCAAGTAATAACCTTCTCAATGACAGGCAACTATCTTGGAACTAACACGAAAGATAATTGCTTTGATTGAATCAATATTCGAAGTCATATAACAGAAGCAAAGAAAGACCATATAATCTAGACCACTTCAGAATTATTTAATCTCCTGGATGCCTTGCTCTGCAAAGGGTTCTCATTCTCAACATTCAATTACTAGATAATGTGGTGTCTAACTGGCAAGACATGCAAAGTCCCTAGGTAGGCAACTAAGCCTATGCCATGTCATTTTGAATAGATGAATGCAGCTCAACCTGAGAGATTGATACCGTTACGATTGTTCCAAACAACAGTTATTCTGATTTGTATGCATATGCAGCACTGTTTACCGGAATTGATATTCTATTTAAGGTAATCTTTACAAAGGCTGCTGACTTCAAAGCACAACCAAATTCCCCACTAGTGAGACGTTTTCTTCTTCTTCTTTTTTTTTTTTTGCTAGTTTGATAGGTTCCTTTGGGCGAATAAACAGCT